CGCCATACTTGTGGCGGGCGGAAGTGGGGGTAGGAGCTGCTGCGGATCACGGTGAGGAGTCTTTCGTCCCGGGTCTTTTTGCGAGGCAACCCGCTTGCTGCACCTGGGTCTCCCCCGCCACTCCCGGCCCTAGCCGTAGGTGCCTCACGCCTCCCCCTCCACGGGAGATGGGTCCCTGGCGCAGGGCAGAGCCCGCGAGGGGGAGAAGCTGGGGCTCAGGGGCTGGCGCTTTCTCTCCTGTGTCTTTGTTTATGACGGTATTCTCTTCTTTCTGGCTTAGGTGCGGGCTAGTAAGAGATGGCCCTTCCGCGGCTGCTGGCCCGAGGGCTGGCCTGGCCGGGCTGCGGGCGGGCTCTGCACCGGGCGACCTCCGCCTCGGCACCGGCTGCTCCAGGTGAGGAAGAAGCATTTGTCTTATCCCCACTGCCTCCTTGGGGCTTTTCACTTTTGGCATCTCATGGTGAATTGTGATTCAAAGTACATCAAAACCAATTTGTCTAACTTTTTTTCCTGAGATTATACTTTGCTTTTTTCTTATCTTCTGCAGCACAGTCTATAAACCACTGGTAGCTGAATGCCTAATGTGAAAACAAACTTTCTTGCCCTCTAGAGCCTTTAGGCTGTGATGAAGGTAGTGAGGAAGACTAGCTCATATAATTATACACATACATATGTGTCTAGGTAATAGTATCTCAAGTTTCTCCTTGCAAGCTGGAACTAAACATGCTTGGTTTTATAGCTAAATCATGATACCAGGTATGCTGAGTCTGGAAAGCCTGTAGTCATGGTTCAGGCCTTTTACCAGGAGTTGCAGGCAGGAAACTCTTCAGTTTACACCCACATAACGAGTGTAAGTATGTTTCAGTCTTGACTTGTCAAGCCTCCTTTCTGCTGCGTGTTCTAGATTTGAATGTGGAACTGTTAGCATGGCTCAGGACCAATCTGCAGCTTTCCTTTCTCTTGCCTATGAAATTTGCAGGGCAACAGTTTGCAGCAAGGCTGTGTTCAGGATTCTATACAGAAGTTTGACTGAGACACAGAAATAATTCCTCTTACAAACTTTTTTAGAATAACTTCACATATTTATATCCTAATGTCTTACACAAGTTGTATTGGGGATATAGGGAGTAATTTCTTTGTATATGTCTAAATTTTGTTGGTGTTGGGGCAGGGGGGTGACTAACTCTTTCTTTGTGCTTGTTTGCAAAAGCCACAAAATAATTTATTATTTTTATTCAAGACTTTAATAGTTTTGTCACTCGGACCAACACTTGTGGAGAGCTGCGTTCTGCTCACGTGGGACAAGAGGTCACGCTGTATGGATGGATTCAGTATCAAAGGTAAATGCAGACCGAGGTGAAAATAGAGATGCTTGTTTGCCAGATTAAATGTATTCTCTAGGCCTGGATTCAAACCCTTTTTATGCTTCAGGTTATCTTTTTATATCCTGCATTAGTCACTTCTGAAGTGAGCAAAACAGTTGAGAACTGTGCCAGATCAGTATTTACAATTTTAAAGTTTCATACAAATGTTATTCGATCCTTATTACAACACTCTAAAGCAGTTAAATATTACTACCCTTGTTGTATAGGAGAAAAAACAAGTAATAGCATATTTATAGCAATTCTAACAGCTGTCAGCAAATATTTTCTTTTATATAGCATCCTGCAATTTTAAGCAAATACTTGTTGTTTGTCTTTTCAACTACAGCATTTAATGATGCAATTTTAAAGCATGCAAGCTTTGCTTAAAAAAGAAATATTAAGAAAAAGTAGTAAGCAGAGGATGAAATGTTAATTCCAACAGTTTGCTATAGGTGGCGTGATATAGTCACTCCTAATAGAGTTGAACATTCTGTAAATGTAGGATGAAAAGCATGTCTGCATACAGTATGGACGATGCTCCAAAATGTTAGGAACCTGCGTATGTGCTTGTAATTAATACTCAAGTTAAAATCCTACCTCTCCTGGTTATTTGCATGTTGTTTGTCTGTGGCTGGGAAAAATCTGAAACAATTTGCTCAGATTAGATTCAGATGTGGGAAAAGTATCTGTACATACTTTACTTGAAAGTGCTTTGAGATTGGTCACAAGGTACAGAAAGTAGGTAGCTGCTGTGTGCTTTGGCTTATAATGCAGAATTCTACTGAATTCTTGAAAAAACTTTTATGTTTTTCATGGATCAGACAAGGCCTGTTTCTGGTTTTGAGGGATTTCCAGGGACTGACCCAGATCATCATTCCACAGGATGAGGTAAGTGCTACAGAAATGTGAGTCTGTTATTTTTATTTTTCCTTTGGTAGCTTGGGTCCAGCAGACACGAGAGCAGAATGAAGTACTTTGTCAGACTGAGTGCTCTGACTCATAAGTACATTTAAGCATTATGAGAGCCCTGATCTGACACTGCAACAGAAACATTAATGCTGTTTCCTCTGGCTTATGAGGTGTGATCCTGGATTCAAATGGGCTGTTAAGAAATTAGGCCCTTCAGCGTGGTGCGTTTTTCCTGTTCTTTGAATTTCTGTGAGACGTCATCTTCTTGCAGGCGCATTCCCATGTGAAGAAGCTCTTGTCTGATGCCCCAGTGGAGTCTGTTGTGCGAGTGACTGGAATTGTGTCCCTTCGGCCACCAGGGCAGGAGAATCTGGTGAGGATGTTGGGATCTCTTGGGTGTTTTATTCTTTGCGGAAGAGAGCACTGGATAGTAGGATTTTGGTGGGGTTTGTGTTATGGCTTTGCCATGGGTTCTGGTTGTGTGATGGCCTATTCTCAGATAATGTGAAGTGAAATAAATGCTGTGACATATAATTTAGGAGAACCTTAAAGCACATTAGACACCCACAAATTAAATTGTATTCCAGCCCTTTGAAATGACTCGCTTTTTCAGGCTTTCAAAGTGTGGTTGAGATAATTTCTTCTTCTTGAAAATAAGTATTGTCATCACAAGTTCCACAGCACATGATGACCTCTTTCTCACTCAGAATAGATTTTGCTGTTCTCATTGTATAAGAAACACTGTAGAAATAGTTGAAGAATTTTTTAATATTATGCATTCCTCAGATCTCATTGTAATCAGCTGTAGATTAATCTGTCAGGATTTTACGTATCCCATCACTGGCAGGCCTAAAAAGAGAATCTGGATTTATGATCATAACTTCATTTGCTCTGACCACATATAGATGTCCATAAAAAATGCAGGCTTCAAGCCATGCTTTTATTTCTTTAATCATTTATCATTTTATTGGAAGGTTGTATATACTTACCCTGGTAAATAGAAAGAATTCTGTAAGATCAAATTATTTTTGATGTGACAGTGCTAAGGAGGAAACTGTGTTCTCCCTCAAGATCTAAGAAAAAGACTAGTTCTGAGAACTGGTGTTTAGAGCTGGAAATTCTGAGAAGTTCCTCACAAGTTGCCTTTTTTGGGTTGTATTTAAGACTGACGGTGATGCTGCTAATGCACACTAAAATATGTATTCTGGTCTCATTGAAGCTAGCAGAACTAGTATTTTCTCCAGATGCATGTGCCCTAGAAGGGCCTGTGCCTGACTGTTCCTTTGTGCTTAGTATCGCTTTCAAGGAGAATGCAAAGGAAAAGTAATTACATTTTTTGTAGAGATCACTATGCAACTGGGAAAGAATATGCCATCTTTGGTCAGGTGACTTTGTGTTTTTCTGAACAGAAAGGAAATCTAGGAGAAATCTCTCCTTGAGAGAAGTTCTCTAAGTTATACTGTGTTAGAAGGTTGGGAGGATAATCACGTGTTTGTTGGGTTTTTTTTCCCCCCAACCATCTGTGAAATACCTTTCTCCAATTGTTTTCCTTAAGTTTTGATTCTATTTTTTTTTTCTTGCCTTTTTGCTTCAGAAAATGTCAACAGGGGATATTGAAGTGAAGGTGGAGACTGCAGAGATCCTAAACTCCTGCAAGAAGCTACCTTTTGAAATCAAGGATTTTATCAAGGTGTCCATGTTTTTTCCTTTTTTACCAAAGTGGTGGCTTTTCAATAAATTGGTCGTTTTCCCAGAGTGATAGCAAAACATCTGTGACATCTGTCTGATTCTCCCAGCTCTGCTTTGGGGAAAGATGGTATTTAAAATAGGAGTGTTGCTTGTTAGCTGTGAGAATGTATTTCTAATTAGGCAGAAAACAAGGCTTGAATGATTCCAGTGCACAGGTTTTTCAGATATCACTGTAAGAACAGATGGTAAAGGGAAGAGTGAAAGAAATCACGCTATGCTAGCTTTTTTGAGAGTATGAAACAGAACCCGACATTGCACTGCTGTGTTTTAAGGCAAGGGTGCTTAGTGTTATCTGGTCAAGTAGCTGGTCAGCCTGAGGATTTTCTTCCTCTGTATGTACTCAGTCTTCTAAGACGTTAGTTTTATTGCAGGCTCCATGGTGTAGGAGTGGCATCACCACTGATAGAAGATCTTCTCTGTGCCATTGAAAATGTGACTGGTACATAGTTGGCACTAGGAGAACTGGATCCTGGTCTTTCCATGTTATGAGTCCTGGACAGTTGCCATCATCCACACTACTTTAGCTTTCCTGTCTGCAATAAGGATGTATCACCATTTAGTTATTCTTTTAGATCTATGTAAGATACCACTCCTCTGCTTAAAATTTGCAAGGAGGATTGCTTCAGTCTGTTGCAGTGGACTGAGAATAAGGAAGGAGGAAATCCTGAGCTTTGAGTTAGCTCTTATCATAGTAAATGTCTGTTTCGTGGTGATTTTTGGTGTTGTGGGGTTTTTTTTTTTTTTAATTGTCATGCATGGAAACATTCGGTGGCTGATGTTTGTCTCTTAAGTTGGGGGTAATGGGTGGGTTGTGGCGATAGAGCAGCATCCTCTTTTAGCTTCCCCCTTTCGTCCTGTGGCTTAAGGAGCAGCTTTACTGGACATAT